AATCTTAGGTAATGTTTAGAAATGGACAGGAGCTCTCTTCATGTGACACACGTGGGTAGGAATAGGTGGACAGGGAAAGCAGGATCGTGCCCCATGGCTGGAAGGTTCCTGATCGTGTGGAGAGGAGAGTCTATGGAGAGAGTTTCTGTCATGTTCGGTCTTAGAACTAAAACACTGGTCCCTTCTCCACTGTCATTTTTGTCACTCTTTTGTCCCTAATGCTTTGGGTCGTTCCCACCCCCCCATTTCACATGTGTTTTGCTCCTTCTGGGACTACAAGAGAGAGAAAAACACACTGGGGGGGGGGGAGGGAACCTGAATCAATAGGGACAAACAAGTGACAAAAATGGCAATGTGGAAGTGGCCACTGTCTACTGATTCTGTGTCAGCTACTGATGTTGACCTTGAATGCCCTCCCCAGCCTGGAACACACCTATCTGAAGGACCTCCTCTCCCTGGATGAACCAATGGGCCAGCCCTGTTCTTTGCGCCACCTCCCTTCCCCTAGAGGCAAACTACACAATGCGTTTCATCGCTTGTTTACCCTAGTTTGCCCATGTTTTCTGCAGGCACACAGCAGCTGCGGGGAGAGGCTTCTTAAAAATTTAAAAAAGGAGAGCCCAAAGTATTTCTGCATGTGGAGCAGCACAATTGGTGAAATAACTCCCCCCAACGGTACTGGGGGTGTTATTTAGGCTTGCCATTCCCCTGCTGGGGTCAGGGGTTTGCCTGCTTTAGGGCCCCCTGATCCACTGGCCCAGATTCGGCTGGCAGGGGGAACCCTGCCTCCAAAGTGGTGGGATTGCGCCAATTAGGTTTGCCAAGTCCCCCCAGGGGGCGGGGAAACCCCCGCCCCAGAAGCCCGTTTCCCACCGCCGGCGGATCGGGCCCCGGTCTATGGTTTTCCCTCGGATGGTCATGGCCCCACCCCCAGCGTGCCTGGCGTCGTCACGTCACTTCCAGGTGATGTGTGTGCGGTGCGCACGCGCACTCCCGGAGCAAGCCGGGAGTCCCCCGCTCCGGATACAGGTAACACTTGGCAACCCTAGCACCAATGTGCCCGGCATGATGACATCATAGAGTTTCTGACCAAATGCTAGAGCGGATGCTCTAGCACTCAGCCAAAAAGTCTAGCACCATAGAGTTTCTGACCAAATGCTAGAGCGTCCCCCTGGTGGCATGCCTAGCATGCCGGAAGATAGGGACCCGGCAACTCTAGTGTCATTTTGCCAAATTTGCTGCTCTACAGGCACATAGATTCCACATGGAACAGCAAAATCTTTGAAGGACCGTCTTCTTCCCTAGGTCCCTGTGCTAGGGTTGCCAGCTCTGGGCTGGGAATTCCTGGAGATCTGGGCAGTGAAGCCTGGGAAAGCGGGGGTTTGGGGAGGGGAGGGAGGTCAGCAGGGCATAAGGCCACAGAGTCCACCCTCCAGGGCAGCCATTTCCTCCAGGGAAATGGAGTTCTGTCATCTGGAGATCGACTGTAATACTGGGAGATCTCCAGGCTCCAGCTGGAACTTGGCAACCCTACCGTGTACGCCAACTACAGTCGTCAGGCAGCCATCTGTTGGCCATCCCACCACTCAGGGTGGCCCGTCTGGCATACAATCAGAGCCTGGGCCTTTTCCTCTGTGGAACGAGCTCCCTGAAGATCTTCAGGAGAGGCTGCAAGGCCTGCCCGTTTGCCAGGGCTTTTCGGGGGGACAGAACTGGCAGGCATAGGGTTGCGAAGTCGAAAATCGTCGGGAGTGGGGGACTCCCATCCGGCATCTTATAACATAGAATTTCCCCCTCGGATGGTCGTGGCCCCGCCCCCAGCGTGCCCGGCGTCGTAACGTCACTTCCTGGTGACACGCACGCCAGGGTGGGGTTCCCCCCGGGGCCCGATCCACTGCTGGCGAGGAACGGGCCTCTGGGGCGGGGGTTTCCCTGCCCCCCAGGGGGACTTGGCAGCCCTAGGCAGGCATCTTTGAAGAGGGTAAGGGGGACAGATTTGGGATCTGCTGTTTCATTTAGGTTTTAACCGAAAATGTTTTTAACAATTATTGTAAGTCACCTTGATCCACAAGGAAAGGAGGGATAGAACTATTCTAATAAAATTGATTGATTGATTAATTAATTAATCCAGAAAAATGATTCCCTCCCATGCAGTTTTCACACAAGAAAATTCCTTTGGTGGTGGTGTGTGTGTGTGGGGGAGAGACGGGAGGCCTTCCTCTCCACGTGGCACTGCTCTGAGCTGGTCTGGGCTCTCTTTTGTTTTAGAAGCAGTTGCCTGCAGGTGCCGTGTAACTGGGGAGGAGGGCAAAAGTGGTATAAACAAGTGAGATTCAAGTCTAGTAGCACCTTAGTTACCAAACATGTCGTATCGTTTGCCTCTTAGAAAGCTTCGCTCACTGGCCCTGGGCTTTTTCAGCACTTGCTCCTGTGCTCAGGATACAGGGCTACGAATCGAGACGACTTCCTGCTCCCTCCCCGCCGGTGTGTTGTTTTGCCGATTCTGTGTAACTGTTGTGATGATTTCACACTGTTATTGGTGGGTGTGATAATGGTGTGTGGGCTTGTAAAATTACATATACTTTTGCATATTAGTAAGCCACTCTGAGCCCACAAGGTTGGGAAAAGCGGCCCAAAAGTATTTTAAGTAAACAAACTGCTAGCTGCTGAGTGATGCGCGATATCTGGATCAGTGAGAGTGTAACACAAGCGCATCATCAAGCAAAATAAACTCGCAGAACAAGAGCTCCAGTATCACGAGCAAGCAAGTTCCTGCTACCTAAGCAAGACAGAATATTGTCTCCTGCGCACTGAAAAAGAAAGCGTGCCTCCGGCAGTGATGGATTTCCCTTGCAACCATGAGTTCCTGGGCATCCCATTTTAGCGGCTTCTCGCAAGTTAGAATGACTTGACTGAGCTAGAGTAGGATTTAGGCATATACAAAGTAAAATAAGTAAACCCAGGGCTTCAAATTATGAGGTGCCTCTGAACATATACACATTGGGGGGGGGAATACCTTACTAAATTACCTTTTTTGGGGGGGGTAATGTTATGGGGCCTCTGAAATTTAGGGCTTCAGCATGTCTTAATTGGGTCCTGCATTGGACCATGTTGGTACTCGGATCTTGAAAACTTGTTATAGAGCCAATATGATATAGCGGCTAGAGTGACGATGGCCTAGGACAGTGATGGCGAACCTTTTAGAGACCGAGTGCCCAAACTGTGACCCAAAACCCACTTATTTATCGTAGGGTTGCCAAATGGGGGCGGGGAAATCCCTGCTTTGGAGGCCCGATTTCCGCCGCGGCAGAATCAGGCCCCGGGGGGAACTCCGCCCCCCAAAGCTGCATCATCAGAGGTGACGGAGCCACGTTGCTGACGTTTGGGGCGTGGCTGAGCTCGTTGGGGGGGAAAACCATATGGTTTTTCCCCCGACGAGCTTGGCCACGCCCCCAACGTCAGGAACGTCGCACGTCACTTCTGGTGACATGGTGGCGGCGCGCGCGTGCTTTGCGCACACGTGCATATGGAGCCTGCTTCCGGACTCATCGGAGCCTCCCCCGCCGGTGAGTTTGCCAGACATGGCAACCCTTATTTATCGCAAAGTACCAACACGGCAATTTAACCTGAATACTGAGGTTGTACTTTAGAAAAAACAACTCATACATTAATTTAAGATGATCCAAACAAAGAAAGGAAAGCAATCCCAAATGCTTTCATTTACTTAAAATTATTTGGCAGAGAATTCGACACTTTAATGATGGTCTGGGCCTGGCTGGGGCGATGGCACGCGTGCCCACAGAGAGGGCTCTGAGTGCCACCTCTGGCACCCGTGCCATAGGTTCGCCACCACTGACCTAGGATCTTGGCGATTCCCCACTCTGCCACAGAAGCTTGCTGGGGGTCACACGCTCTCAGCCTGACCTCACCGCTAGGGTTGCTGGGTTCCCTCTGGCCACCAGCAGGGGATGGGGGGGCAGGGTTGCCAGATCCAGGCTGGGAAACTCCTGGAGATTTGGGGATCAAGCCTGGGGAGGACTGGAACCTCAGTGGGGGGCAAGGCCATAGAGTCCACCATCCAAAGCAGCCATTTTCTCCAGGGGGACTGATCTCTGTAGTCTGGAGATGAGCTGTGATTCTGGGGGATCCCCAGGTCCCACCTGGAGGCTGGCGTCCCCACTCACAGCATTGTTATGAGGGGGGGGAAGGAGCAAGGGGGGATGATGTAAGCTACTTTGAGTCCTCGTTAGAAAGAAAGGCAGGGTAGAAATGAAGTAAAAGAAACAATGATAGAAAAGAGCAAGAGTCCAGTAGCACCTTAAAAAGGTAAAGGTCTCCCTTGCTCGAAAGCCAGTCGAATCCGACTCTAGGGTTGCGGTGCTCATCTCCGTTTCAAAGCCGAAGAGCCAGCGCTGTCCGAAGACCTTTCCGTGGTCACGTGGCCGGCATGACTAAACACCAAGGCGCACGGAACGCTGTTCCCTTCCCACCGAAGTGGTACCTATTTATCTACTTGCAATTTCTTGCTTTCGAACTGCTAGGTTGGCAGGAGCTGGAACTAGAGATGGGAGCTCACTCCGTCATGCGGCACCCGGGTCTCAAACTGCTGAACTACTGACCTTCCACAGCCTGCGGTTCAGTGTCTTAACCACTTGAGCCACCGCAGCTCCTAGCACCTTAAAGACTAACAAAATATGTGGCAGGGTCGGAGCTTTCGTGAATCACTGCTCACTTCTTCTACGAAGTTACTGTGACTCACAAAAGCTCACACCCTGCCACAAATTTTGTTAGTCTTCAAGGTGCTACTGGACTCTGGCTCTTTTCTGCTGCTACAGACTAATACAGCTACCCATCTTGAAATAATAATAATAATAATGCCCAAGTTCTCCCCACATTCCGGCCGTCTTCTTTATTCTTACATCCTCTACCCATTTGCAGAGATGTGCATACATATTTCGCATGAATCCCACAGAGGTTTCTCAAGAATCGCTTCTCCATACCTTTAGCACCGGGTATCCTGCCTATGCGGGTTTCCCCTTCTTTTTTCATTCGTCCTGCTTTTGTGTCTGGTCTCTTCCACCAGAGCGCCGTGATTCCCAAATCCTGGAGTCTGTATCCTAGCCTGGAGACAACCAAACAACCTGCCAGTTAGACAAGTGCCGAGATATAAACGCCGACTCGTGACACCGGCTGACGGCATGTTGAGTCACTCCCGGCCCAGAGAGATCACTGATGGGGCCAATTAATGCCACAGCCACCCACGGGGCATCTCAGGGTGTCACAGAAAAACAGAGGCCGATCTTGATACATCAGAGTAATTAAACTCCAGGCTTCATTGAGGAGACCACATCCTCGGCCATTTGCTAAAAGGGTTCAGATGTGTTCAGAACCCAGAACCTGCCCCCAAATGATTTATAGTTTCCACACTTCCTGACAGTGGGAGGACGCTGGTATCCCAGAGAAGCTGGGCTTCCTGTTCTGTGCGGTGCAGTGGTTACAGGGTAAGGGTAGGATCTGGGAGAACCAGGTTCCAAACCCCACTCATGCCATGGCAGCTTGCTGGGTGACCTTGGACCTACCTCACAGGGTTGTTGTGAGGATAAAAAGGAGGAGAGGAGAATGATGTGAGCCACCTTGGGTCCCCGGGAGGGAGAAAGGTGGGGTATAAAGTAAATACATAAGTATTCTTCTCAGGTAATTCCCTTCCCAAATCTGCTTGCTGATTTAGAGCACACAGCTTCCTTTTAACTTTAATCTGTTACACTTCCCCCCCCCCAACTCCTGAGCCCTCGGGTTGCCAACTCTGGGGTGGGAAATCCCTGGAGATTTGGGGGTGGAGCCTAGGAAGGGCAGGGTGTGGGGCACAGTGCCATCCAGCCCACCCTCCAAAGCAGCCATTTTCTCCAGGGGAACTGCTCTCTGCAGTCTGGAAATCAGCTGCAATTCCAGGAGATCTCCAGGCCTCACCTGAAGGTTGGCAACCCTACATAAGGGGATTAGATGGACAGCACGTCCGTTTAGTCAGGCAGCACATGAGTTTATCTGCAGATAGGAGCAGGCAGGTTTTTTCCAGCTGTGATAAGCTTCCCCCCCCCATGTCACCTTCACTCCACTAAGGACACACACAGAGTATTCGTATTGATTAAATCCTGATTGCCTGTCTTTTCTCATCCATCACCTTGCCACCCTTTAGCTGGGCTATTTATTTAGGTGTGTTTTTTTTCTTCAGCACCTTGAAAGTTCATCTGATCAACTGTTTGCTGAAATCTTCATCAAACAATTAAAAAAAACAAAAAAACACTTTTTTTCACCCTTAGAAAATCTCCTAGAAGAAAGGCTGTAGCTTTGTGATTGACTCGCGGGCAGTGTTCCCTCTAAGATGGGTTCATGTGAGCTAGCTCACAGTTTTTGAGCCTCTGGCTCACACATTTTTGTCTTGGCACAGGAAGGGAGGGCTCCAGAGCAAACTAGTTTATCCAGCAGCCAAATCGGCTCGCTCACCACTTTAATGCCAGTAGCTCACAAAGTAGAATTTTTGCTCACAAGAGTCCACAGCTTAGAGGGAACTCATTGCTCACGGGCCAGCCGGTCAGTGCTGGGCATACTTCTCCTGCTGCCAATCAGAAGAAAAAGGCTCTCCTAAACACAACAGTCTTCTGGAGACAAAAGCAGCCATGCACCCAATGTGCAAGAGACGATGCATATCTGTAGGCCTCCTTTATATATTTATTCAATAACTATACAGACTTTCTCTTCAAAGATCTGCTCAGGGCAGTTCACAACATAGAAAACAATTCAACAATAACATCGTAAAAAAATAACAACATAAATATCATTAGTACTGAAACAAGCACTAAAACTAGCCGTGATCTTACAGGGGCAAAAATATAAGCGGCATAAAAGGAATATTAAGCAGCACAGAACAGTTTTAGCAACTAACATTTAAAAAGCTCTTCCTGAAACCATCCTTTGATGAGACATGGGCCATGAAAGCCATACATTAAAAAAGGATGGAGTAAACCTTCAGGTAAAAACCCTGGTGAAGAAAACATTTGGGCCTGGCAGTTAAATGAGAATAAAGAGGTGCCGGGGGAGGGGGTATGGGGGGGGAGGGCATTTCAAGGGTGAGGGCCGCCCCACCACCAAGACAGCCCTGTTTTCAATGGTCACCTGCTTCACTTCCACAGCTGGGGGCCCAGAGAGCAAGGTATCTTATCTAGTACCAGAGGAAGAGGCCCTGCTTTAACAGCCACCTTGTGCTGCATCTACAGCCACTGGTACATCTAACCCAGGATTGTCTGCTGCAGGGGTCATTTCGTAGAAAAAGAGCTAGGGGAACTCATTAGCATAACTCATTAGCATATGCCACACCCCCTGACATCAGGGGCCCGGCGGTGGACCTGCAAGGCCGGCGGGAGTGCGAGGAAGCCCCGCGAAGGCCCTCCCTGGCCCCAGGCAGGCAGGGGTGGGGAGAGGCGGGGAGGAAGCAACTTACCCTCCCTCTTCTCCTGCCTCCTCCTGGCTGAATGAGGGCCGGAAGCGGGGCGGCCGGAAGCAGGGGGCGGGGCTTCGTCATGTGCCCCGCCCTCCTGCACCTCACCCGGGGGAACTGTGTTCCCCCGCGTTCCCCCCCGAAATGACCTCTGGTGCTGTAACTGGCAGCAGGTCTCCAAGGTATAAGGCAGAAGCATTTTTCCAAATGCTGAGTTCCTTCTTCTGGAAAAACCAGGGAAACTGACCTGAGATTTTCTCCATGCAAACCCTATAAATCAGGGTTGCTGGCCAAGTGCTGCTGACCAGCTGGAGGCTTTTGGGGGCGGTGAGCAACATTACTCGGTGTCATCCAATATACTAACATCACTTCTGGTTTGCATCTGGAAGTGACACCATGACACTCTAGGAATGTGATCGTCTCTATGGCTTTCACCCTACAGATGTGCAGATTCATAGAGTGTTGTGGCAGAAGTGACATCACAATGTTGCGCATCATCCAGCAATGTCCCATCCTGCTCCCAACCCTTGCTGCTGCTGAACTGATGAAGCCCAACGGGGCTTAGAGCCCAGGAACAGGAGTTTGCCCGCTTCCTCCGGGGAGAATGGCAACCCTAGCCCCTCATCTGATCCTCACGTTCTAGGATGTGCAGACAGTGCATCTTCTAGGGTGAGGGAGATGTAAAATTCTGTGTCAGATGAGAGGGAGGTGACGAGGAACAAGAAGCCTGAGATGCTGGTGTTCCTTCTTTCCTGGTATCACTATGCCTCTCTGAGTGTTGCTTCCTTTAAGATAATATTAATATTTTTCTAAAAGGAAGTAGGAAGGGAAGGAATGGGAGGGAAATGTCTGTTCTTGTGCAGAGCTTGGCACTTTCGCAGGGTTTAAATGAGCACCCTGGCATCATAAATGATTCTCCCATGCATTTAGGAGCTGGGTTACCAATATTCCTCTGAACATATGCAAAGGACCCTTTATCACTTTATTACAAAAGCCTGCAATATGCATGGCAGCAAACATCAGAAAAATTACGCCTCAAGAGACCAGAATGTGCAACAAAGGAATTTCGCTTCAACGGCCTTCCTCTCATGGCTCCTATACATATCGGCCGCTGCTCTGAGTGTCTGTTCCTCGTTCGATCATTCCAGATAGGCAGCCATGTTAATCTGGAACAGCAAAACAAAACAGGAGTCTGGTGGTACCTTGACAAAGATTCACAAAAATATATATTCCAGCACCAATTTTTGTGAGTCAGCACACACTTCATCAGATGCAGTGAAGTGTACTGTTATATCGTGGCAAGTTGTGAATTTGGAGATGTTCCTTTATTGAACTGTTTGGTTATTTTCCCCTGGTCCCTTAGGGCAGAAAAGCATGTACTGTAGTTTAGTTTCACTTTCCTCTGCTGGTTGTTACAGGCTGTTATTTTTTGTTCAAGCAGAGGCCAGGAGGAAAGGCTCTGCTTTTGTTCTGATCAAACTTTCAATTCTTCTGTGCTTGTGGAATTATTACACTGGCGATGAGGATAAAGCTACAGCGACCTGTCCAGCGCGAGCTGTGGCTAAGCCAGCACTTTCTAGGTGTGAGCCAGCACACGACCACTGAAGAAAGCTTAAATCGTCTTTTTTCAACTTCACACGCATTCAGAAGATCATTTACTCACAATCGTTCAGATAGCTGGGTGGAAAGTTACATCTTGTGATCTAGGTTAGTTCAATAGCCGTGTTGAGAAAGAGATGGGCTTCCCCTCTCCTTGCAGTAAGGGTTGATGAACAAAGAAAACGGAAAAGAACAATAAAATCCTATCTTTGCACCTCTGAGCTCAGGAAATTACTCTTAATGAGCCAGTCAGAGGGAAGCTTCTGGAACCCCTAACTGTGAACTCCAATTCCCAGGTGCACAAGTCTTAAAGATACAGAGCAGATTTACTAAACTACGGATTAACACTGACTGGGGGCAGCATAATTTATGGTGTGATGCTGGAGTTTGATGAAGCCAGTCAGTGATCTGAGTATGTAGAAAGACTGGAATACTATTTCAAAGCAAATAAGACTGAGGATGTGGGCAAAAGACCTATTCCCTGCTGAGGACGTTGGCGGCACCACAAATGCCAGGTGAGAAAACGTTAAAAGAATTATGCAATTCAGTACCGCAGCATGTAAGTCCATGGCTTTCAGCAGTGGTTTTTTGTTGTTGTTCAGTCGCACAGTCGAGTAGTCCTTCAAGTTCCATAGTCACCAACAGAACCCTGGTGAAATTAAACTACAGCACATACGTTTTGGCCCTAAGGGGCCAGGGGAGAATAACAGTTCAATAAGGGAGCATCGCCAAATTCACAACTTGCCATGATATAACAGGTACATCCCCCCGGGGAATTCAATGCTGTTACCACTGGCTGTGTGCTTCCCCTTCATCCTTTGGGCGCTTAAAGGCAAGTTGCCTTGTGGAAGGAGAGAAGTAAGTGCCTGGAGTGAGGTTGTAGCCATCAAGGGCAGAGCTGTTATCACCTGCTCTGCTTCTCCCAATTGACCCCTGGAAGGTTAAAGGGAAGGTGCTTTCTGGAAACGAGGAAATCCCTGGGGAGCGACTGGTGCTATAGAGGGCAGTGCCGTTACCACCTGGTCTGTCCCCACTTGGCACCGTGGATGCCAGTCTGTTA